CGTGAGGGAGCGCGCGTGAGAGGGAGAGCGTGAGGGAGCGCGCGTGAGAGGGAGAGCGTGAGAGTGCGCTTGTGAGAGGGAGAGTGTGCTTGTGAGAGGGAGCGTCTGAGGGAGCGCGCTTGTGAGTGGGAGCGTGTGTGTGAGTGTGAGAGCAAGCACTTGAGAGGGAGCGCACGTGTGAGGCAGTGTGAGAACAAGTGTGAAAAAGCGAGAGCGAGCTTGTGTGTGAACGAGCAAGTGCGTGAACAAGTACCGGCGAGGGGGTGGGTGAGCGTGGATGAGACCCACTGTGAGAGCCAGTGTGCATAGGAGTGTGCAAGAGAGTGGGAGTGGGAAGCAGAGTGAATGAGACTGCGAGGGAGCGCAAGTTTGCACAAAAGTTAGTAAGAAGGCGAGGAGCTCCGAATGGAAGGAAGGCGGCATGAATGTACATGTGCAAACAAGTTAGTTTGACCAAGGTGGTGGGTGGGTATGGAGTGTGTGAACAGACAGCCTGGCAAAGTGGTGGCCATCAGGTCCCCAGGACCTCTAGATCTGGTCGGGGGCAAGCACAGGCGGGAGGGTGCAAGTCCTGGCCCACGACTGTCCTCCGAGTAGAGAGCAAGTGGTCCCCGTGCTTGGTGGGTGCACCAGGCTGGATCCCGCCATCAGCTCAGCCACAGCCTTAAGCTCCAGGGCTGTAGACTTTCCAAACTGGAGGGTGACTCACCTGCCCCTTGCTTCATAGGTTACTAGGCTTGAGCCCAGAGAGGTCAAGAGACAGAGGGCTGGGGACAGAACCAGACCCTGTGCCATCTTGTAGCAGTCCTGTTGCCACTGTGCTGTGGAATTGATGTAGTGAGTTGGCCAAATGCCCCAGTGCTGGGCAGGCTGTCCCCTTCCTCCTTCCCCCAGTCAGTCTATCTCCTCATCTGTGAATGGGGATAACCATGGTGCCTGTGTCCTGGGGTTGTGAAGAGAACTTGTGAGTAACACACAGGGACTGGCACACAGCATGTGGTCAATAAATGTCACCTGGGGTTGTGATCATCCTCCCTTTTACAACACCTTTGTTTCCCAGCATACACTCACCCCTCAGCATAGGAACACAGCTGGCTCCAAAATTTGTGCTGAAAGGTGAAAACTCATAATGACCACTCTACTTGCTGTAACAACAGCAGCATTTCTGTTAGGAAAGTCAGTTCAGGGACCCAGCCAGTAGCCCCGGTGGCAGACACTCAGGACACTTCAATCAGCATTCCCCAAATGGCATGTTACTGAGGTGTGAGATCGGTCTGCGGGTAAAAAGCACTTCTTAAAAACAATAGAACAGAAGTTGTTGGTGTGTCACAGAGTAGGGCTAGCTCCGATCAGTTTTTTTCATTCTACGTACATGCACACATGCAGGACGTGTGTACACATGACATGCATGTTGTGTGTGCTAGGCTTTGACAAAAAGTGCATTTCTTACTGTGGGTCTCCATGAGAAACATGGAAGCCCCTGCTGTGACTTCCAGCGTTTCCATTGACACCACTGAGATGGTACTCCTGGAACTCTGGGACTTGGAGCCCTGGAATAGTGGAACAGTGGACTCTCCACTGTTAGCTTGTTACAAAGCAGGGTCTGAGACCCCCTCCTGGTGACCAGGGTCATGGCCCATGCCCTGTCCTAACACATCGCGCACTCCTGTGCAAGGCCATTCTGCCCAAAGGAGGGTCATTGGTGTTTGGGGAAGAAACCTGTTTTGATGCAATAACACGGTGTGTGAGAGCCCAGGAGTCTGTGCTGTGTGAAGAGCATGACGGAGAGTTTGCCCTCACTGGCCTCGGCTGCTCTGCTCCAAGCAGCCGGTGGATAGTGGGGAGCTGTGGGAGCCCAGCCCAGAGCGCTTCCGAGGAGTTAGAAAGGAATCTGCAGGCACTTAGAATAGTGCCCAGTGCATGGAGCCTGGGGTAAAGGCAGAGATTGCTCTAACAGCTACAGCAGTTCTGAGGGGGTGGGTGGGAGTGGATAAGAAGACCCAGGCCCAGATTGCCACCCTCTGCCCCTTGGTCCTGCACCCCACCAACCCCTCTCTTCAGTGGCACATTCCACCATCAGAATCATCCAGGGGCAGCAGCCTCCTGCCACCTCACCTCACCCCCACGATCTTACTGCCACAACTGTGCGACTTAAGCTGGGTTGGCCACAGCCCTAAGAAGGGGGTAGTTCTGGCCATGGCATGGGTTGGGCAACCCAGAATCACGGGTACCCCATCTGACTCTAGCCCCTTCCATGACCACAGGCTCCTTTTTCCAGGATGGAAGTCTGGGTCATGGAGGAATGAAAGGGATGAGAAACCAAACAGGGTGATGGTCCTATAGGGAAGTGTAACCTAAGGGCACACCAGGTGCCTGACCACCATCTGCAGATTGGGTATCCACACCCACCTGCTGTCTTGCACACACAGCAGGGCCATTGTCTACCCATCTAGAGGCCCCTCTGCCTATAACCTCCCTGACCTAGGATTTCACACCTTGGGCAAGGAAGAAAGAGGAAGGGTGGAAGGATGGGGCCAGTCTGGACACATGGAAGAGGAAGATGGGCCGGTCAACTTCTGTGTCCAGCAGAGGAGGCAATGGAAAGAGAACCAGGACAAGCACAAGGCCAGGGCAAGTGCTGCCGCTGACCACCTGCACCCAGCAGGCCAGCTCTGAGATGAAGCTCTTGAACGCTGGCTGCTCCGACTCACTGTAGAACTTTCCAGACCGACTGCCCAAGGGAATGAAGCAGGTTGAGAGAAGGGTTTTGGAGGGAATGAAAACAGGTTCTTGTCCAGGAAGTCATTGGGGTGGGAGGGTGGGCATTGCAGTGGGCCTGGCTCTGGCATCTCCTGACAGGGCACTCCCTGTCTGGCTGGAGTTCCTGGAGTCTTTTCAGCCTGGGCTCCAGGGGAAGGCCACACACCCACCTGCTGGGCCTTCTCTGCTTCTTCCTGGGCCATGTGAGCCACTGAGCTGGTGAGGAGGGTCATGCACTGCCAAGGGTATAAGACTAGACAAACACACTTCTTCACACCTGATACTTTGAATCTTTGTGAAAGACTAATAGGTTGGCTGCCCTCTGAGAGTGAAAGACGAAGGAATACCACCCCCCAGGGAGGGAGATTCCTAGAACCTAAAAGTGAACAGTACAATTAATAAAAGTTCAGTGTAGGGAAATCAGAAAATACAGATCAAGCAAAAAGAAACAAAATGACCAAGTAATTCCTGATGGCCTGCTCATTTACATCCCTCCTTATGCACTTCCTTCCATACCTGCTGCTCATTACACACCTCCTCACATACTTTTTTCTGTGAATAGACACACATGAAAGTGGGACTGTGCAGCATAGATGCAGTTTTGTAACATTTCTGTTTGCACATTTTGAGACACAGTGCCTGTGTTCCAGCATCCAGAGGCACAGGTCCATGAACACCCTCCTATTTTCTATGTGTGAGAGGCCTTCCCCACAAGTGGGATTTGTGAAAGAAAGGAAATGCATGTTGGAAAATATATTTATGACCAGACTATCATCCAAAAAGGTTTTCTCAACTTGAGTTCCCACTAACAGCTCAGAGAGTTGCCGTTGCCCAGGTCCTCGTGGTATCATTCTCTCTAATCTTTCTTACTGGGTGGCAATGCCATCTTATTTCAGTGTTCATTTCTTTGATTGCTGGTGAAGCTGATTTGCTCATTTCTTTTCTTTCTTTTTTTTTTTTTTTTTTAAAGATGACCGGTAAGGGGATCTTAACCCTTGACTTGGTGTTGTCAGCACCACGCTCAGCCAGTGAGCGAACCGGCCATCCCTATATGGGATCCGAACCCGGGGCCTGGGTGTTATTAGCCCCGCCCTGTCCCGAGTGAGCCACGGGCCGGCCCCCGGGACATCTTTTTTTTTTTTTCGGGGAAACTGTTTTTGCCCTTTTTTTTTTTTTTTAAGATGACCGGTAAGGGGATCTTAACCCTTGACTTGGTGTTGTCAGCACCACGCTCAGCCAGTGAGCGAACCGGCCATCCCTATATGGGATCCGAACCCGGGGCCTTGGTGTTATCAGCACCACACTCTCCCGAGTGAGCCACGGGCCGGCCCCCGGGACATCTTTTATTGGAATGTCTGTCTTTTCTTGATTTGTGAGGTTTCTTTGCATGCTGTGGATAGATGATTGGTAGAAATTCATTGTCAAGTATGTTCCACATATTTTTTTCTGGTTTATTGTTTGTTTTTAAATTTGCTTTTTTGTTTCCTAAATAGAAATTTTACATTTTTGTGTAGTGAACTCTAACGGTATTTTCTTTTATAATCTCTCCTACTGATATAGTTAGAAAAGTCTTCTCCACCCTGAGGTTACTTACATAGGTGTCCATATTTTCTAGTACTTTCTGTGGCTCTGTTATTGTACACTTAAGCTTTACCATGGCTGGGATTTGGGGGAGTTTGAGCAGGAGGTGGGAGCCAAGGTTTTCCTAGATGGCCAGCTATGGTCACGGTGGCCTTGGGCAGTGGGGAAAGGCTTTATAGCTGGCAATGAGGAAGCTCATTTCTGGGTGTCTGAGAGGAACAGGTGGCCCAAGTGCTGGAGACTTGATCCTGGCCGCCACTTGACCTGGATCGAGGCCCAGCAAGTGCCATGAAAGACCCAGGCCCTATTAAGACAAGTGCTTCCATCAGCAGAGGGTATGTATGCCCCATGCTGCATTTCCCTGCTGGGAGCCTCCATGTACTTTGTTCCTTCTGCAGCCCCCTGGACCTGGAGGTTAGATCCTGCTGTGATATGCTGACCATGGGGACACCCCTCAACATCCTCTGGCTGGCTCTAGCCTGCAGCTCTGTTCATGCTACCCTGTCAAAGTCAGATGCCAAAAAAGCTGCCTCAAAGACGCTGCTGGAAAAGGTAGGGGTATCCTGGAAACGAGGTGACCACACTGGCCAGGGGCTGACCCGTCACACTCTTCTCCCTCCAGCCAGGCCGGGGCCTATGAATCAGGAGGTTAGAGGGGCTTGACTCCTCATGCAGCTGGCTTACGAGCCACCAGCTGATGAGCCAGCTGTGGGCAGGCAGGTAGGTGGCCTGTGCGGCTCTGGGGCTCTGGCCAGTCAAGGCCTCTGAGTGAGCAGCCTCTGGAGCCAGATTCTGAGGGTGGGCGGGCATGCTCTTTGGTGTTCCCACTGCCCCACTTGGGGCTTCTCTTGTGACCATTTCCATCTTTCTTCCACCTCCTGCTTTTAACACCTGCACTCTTAGCCCTCCGTTGTCACATTCTTGAATATTCGTGCCCACAAGCTGTGTTGCGTCATGGCCTTTGTCCTAT